TCAAATTGGATCTGACTGGTACAGGAGACTGCCCCTCCTTCTCCAGCAGAGCATGAAGTAGAGTCTGGGTCCCCCCCCCCCCCCCAGGTGCCTGTCGGGGCCTGGGTTTCAGCTGTCCACACCACAGCAGTGGGCAACAAGCTTAAAGCCCCTGATGGCTCTGGGTGCTGACTCTCACCAGTGGCTATGGGTGAAGTCACAGGCGATTTTCAGCCAACGCTGGGTTTGTCTCTATTTCTTTAAGGCATATCATTTATTTAATATTAAATCTGTGTTCTTTAAAAGTACAACTGAAAGCATAACTGAAAAGATCAGTTAGGGAGGAGGCTGTTTTTATTTGAGTGGAAGTTTGCACATACTGGTTTTTTGTTCAGTCATTCATACACATTTTTGTTGTTTTTTTTTTAATTATTAATGTCAATGAAAATTTACAGAGACTTTGGATTTCCAGTCATTCATTGTTGCTCTTTTCTCCCCTCCTAACCCTCCCCCCTAATACACTACTCTCTTGGAAAAGTAAAAGAAAAATTCTTTCATTGTTTTACAATCCCTCCCCCCACCCCCACTACCCTTTGCTCTGGACTCCTGTTATAACAAAAATACCTAATCACATATCCCTTTTAAACAGTTTTCTCCCTCATCTGTTTCAATACAATATACATTATTGAACCCATCTTTCTCAGTCTCCCCAAGCCCAAGGTCAGTCCTGTTTTACAACAGTGGCACCATGCAGTATTTGTCATTTTGTGACTGAGATACTTCACTCCGCATAATGTCCTCCAGGGTCACCCATTTTGAATAATATTGCATGAGGTCTTTGTTTTTCAATGCAGCATAGAATTCCATTGTGTAAATATGCCACAGCTTTTCTATCCATTCATTTGTTCATGGGCACTTAGGTTATTTCCAACTGCTTGCTATTATGGACAAAACCGTGCTAAACATGGGTGTGCATATATCTGCTTGGATGTCGGTTATGGTCTCTTTGGGGTATATTCCCAATAGTGGAATTGCTGGGTCAAATGGTATTTCTATTTGCAACTTTTTGAGAAAGCGCCATACCGCCTTCCACTATTTATTATAGTGGTTGCACTATTTTACACTTCCACCAACAGTGAATAAGGGTTTCAGTTTCTCCACAACCTCACCAGCATTTGTTGCTTGCTGTTTTGTTAAATTTTGCTATCCTGACTGGGGTGAGATGATAGCTCATAGTTGTTTTAATTTGCATCTCTCTTAGAGCTAGGGGTTTTGAACATTTCTTCATGTGCTTGTTAGCCATCTGAATGTCTTCTTTGATGAAGTGTCTTTTCATATCCTGTGCCCATTTTTCTGTTGGAATATTTATCTTGTTATGTCCAACTTTTTGAGAAAGTGCCATACTGCCTTCCATAGTGGTTGCACTATTTTACAGTCCCACAACCTCGCCAGCTTTTGTTGTTGGTTGCTCTGTTAAATTTTCTGTTCTTACTGGGGTGAGATGATATTTCATAGTTGTTTTATTTTCATGTTTTTGAAGAATTTTCATGAGATCTGGATGAGGATTACAGGATATCTGTAAATCATTTGCAAGGCAAGATGACTAGTAATTGCTTTGTTCTTTCACAGTCCATCAAAAGGAAAGATTGGTCAGCGAACTCATTTTAGAATTAGGACTAGAAGACAACTAGCCAGACCTTTCCTCCTTTGCTGAAGTCCTCAGATTTCCCAGAGTTAGGACTGCAGGGGAACTGCCAGACCCTTCAGAGTCCTCAGTTTTCTCTTTATTCCCAGTGGTAGGATAAGGTAGTAAAGAAATTGCTATTTTGTCTGCCTTAACTTTCATCATGGGAACATGTTTTCTCAGTTCCTTCAAAATGTTCTTGGAATGATGCAGAGTAGTGAGTATTTTTGTTTAAATGTTGTTAAGGAGCAATTATTGATCTCTCACCTATTAGGCACGGGAGCGGTCCTAAGGTCCAATGGGACCACAGACCCCAGCCTCTGTGACCCCAAGACCAGGCTTACTGGTCTGATAGAGAATGATTGAACCGCTGAGACTGTTCAAGCCACCCCCTTGGCTGACCTTTCAGCCAAACAAAATGGAGTGAATCAGGGAGGCCCATACTTAGTACAGCCGCCAGCCAAACAAGGTCAAAGGGCCTGGTGTAAAGCTCCAAGGGAAGGAGGGATAGGAAAGAAGATTCGTGCAAATGGTGAGCGCAGGGAGGATGGGGAAGAACACTGCTCCAAATGGGGGTGCAGTCTCTCACGAATTAAAATGTGTATGACTTGACCAGTAGAGAATCACTTTGCTCTCTGAACTCAAATCACAGTAAATAGTTAAAAGGAAAAAAAACCCAATCCATCATCGTATCCTTCCAGATGTTACTATCCAGAACAGTGAGCTGATGAGTGGCAGCATGGACAAAGGAACGCTGGGATCAGGATCCAAGAACAATATCTTTTACATTCTACTGCGAGACTGGGGGCAGAACGAGGCTGCTGATGCCATGTCCCGGCTGGCCAGGCTGGCCCCTGTTTACCTCTGTGAGTACTGCCACTACCTCCTTCCGTTGCTGGAATTGTTGTGGTTTTAGGCTGGAATTTTTTTGTGTATATGTGTGTGTTTTTTTTATTATTATTATTCATTTTAATGAAAGTTTACAGAGACTTTGGATTTCCATTCATTCATTGTTGCACTTTTCTCCCTGCCCAACCTCCCCCCCTCCCCAGTTTGCTCTTCTCTTTAAAAAGTAAAAGAAAACTTCTTTCATTGTTATATAATCCCTCCCCCCATATTTTTTTTTCTTTTGGAGTTGTTTTGTCACCCTCTGTACTCCCATCTTTCTGTGCACATACAGAAAAAAGGATATTTACACCAGCACACTATATTTGTGCTTTTCTTAGTTAAATGAACAGAGTATTTTCTAATTGGAATAATTTAAATAAGAAAAAATAAAAATTTGTTTTCTAAGAATTTTCTTTTACTTTTCAGATTCTCTTGTTACATACCATTGAGTTAGTGCTGACCCTGCATTGGATTTTCAGAGGCAGTAAATCACTTAGGGGAAGAGACTGTCCATCTTTCTTCCACAGAGCAGCTGGTGAATTAGAATTGGGTTCCATTGGATTGACAGCAGAGCTACTTCCAAATTTTGTTATTGTTGCTGTTGTTGTTCTGTGCTCTGGAGTCACTTGCAGTTCATAGTGAGCTACCCTATGCACAGTAACTCTGAACCCTGACCTATCCTGAGCCAGTGACATACCCCCCCCCCATTACGCCAGTTACTATGTCAGTCCGTCTCCTTCAGGGTCTTCCTCTCTTGCACTGTCCCTCCATCTTTCTAAGCCTGCTACCTTCTTGGCAGCATGCCCAAAGTACATCACAGATTTCAAAATCCTTGACTCCAAAGGGCAACTTGGTTTCACCATCTCTAAGACAGACCTGTTTTTCTTGGCCATCCCTGGTATGTTCAAGACTCTTCTGCACCGCAATTCAAAGGCATCAGTTCTTCTGCTAATCCTAGTCATTGTTCGGCTCTCTGATGCATTAGCAAGTAACTGTCAAGGCCATGGTCTGGGTCAGGTACATCTTAGTCTCTAGACTGACATTGTTGCTCTTCTGCACTCTGAGAGGTCCATGATGGCAGATTTTTCCCAGTGCAGTTTGTCTTTTGATTTCTTGACTGCTGGTGCCAAGAGTGTTGATTATGGAGCCAGGCAAGCTGAAATTATTAAGTCTCAGTCTCTTCTCCATCAATTACGGTGCTACCAGTTGACCCACTGGTGAGAATCTTTGACTTCTGATGATGAATTTCAATCCATATGAAGACTACAGTACTTAACCGTTTGCAGCAAATTCTTCAGTTTCTCCTCAGTTTCAGCAAGCAAAGTTGTATCATCTGCCTAACATAGGTTCAAATTCTGTAGTAACTCCTTATTCTCTGCCAGCTAAAGTTATGTATAAGGCCCTATGGACCTTCTGTAATTCGGTTCTACCTGGGAAGTAAGTGTGTTCCCTAAAATGAAGGTGATGAGACATCACCTCATACCTTATTGGTCGTCAGGAGGGGGCCTCTCCCTGGACAAAGACATTGTGCTTGGTAAAGAGGGTCAATGGAATGGGGGAACCTCTCAAGGAGATTGAGTCGAACAGGGAAGTGAAGCGTTGGCTCAGTCCCAGCAGGGTGTGAGATGGTTGGGAGGTCAGCAGTGTTTGGTTAGAGCTATATTGACACTGCCTGAGGACAGTAGTCCATGCACTGGTCCGTCTCCTGTGTCTGTTCCACTTTCAGGGAGATGTGTGCTTTGCCTTCTCCCAGACAACTTTATTCCGCCCTCTTACTTTTCTTTTCTTCCAGCTTTACACTTGACACATTGGCTGAGTACAAAATTCTAGAATTCCATTAACTTCAGAATTTTGATGTTTTCTGTGCTTAATTTTAGCTTTCAGAATTGCTGTTATAAAGTATATTGCGAGGGAGCTTTGGTGGCATAGTGGCAAGAAGCTGCACTGCAATACTGCTGTTTGAATTCACCACATGCTCCACTGGGTAAGGAGGGGCAGTCTCCTCCTGTGACAGTCGGATCCTTGATGGTACACAACAAGAAACAAAACCCAAAACCAAAATTTTATTGCTCAAAAAAGGGGTTTGTGCAAACTCAAAGTTATTTCTGTTGAGTCATAGCTGACTCATAACTGATCCTCCAGCGGGTTTCTGGGTCTGTAAATTACATGCGAAGAGATTACCCATCTTTTTCCCAAGGAGCCACTAATGGATTTGAACCCCCAGAGGTGTAGCCTTTGACCAGTGAAACTCTCTGTGGACTGTGCCACCTGAGTTCCCTTGAATTGCACTCATCAGTGATATGAAACAAAATGTCTGTGAACACATGTATGAAAAACCAATATAATAAGTAATTAAATATGCAGGAGAGGCATCCACTTTCCTAAGCCTCTGGAAACTGAACTTTGAAAAACAACGATAGTTATAGAAAGGCTTTCAGGTCTTTTGTTCATAGGGTCGCTATGAGTCATGTTTGACTCGATGGCAGCCAACAACAACATAATAAATTTACCCAAATTGAAACAATAATAATAAATAAAGATCATTCCACATTCCCATCACTTAGAGGGGTAAAAGAGTGTGTTATTTACAAAATTGTGTGATCTTTCCCCCCCTCTTCATTCTAGAAGCTTTGCAAATGCTTTCTTTGTTTTTGATATTCTGAAATTTTAGAATAATACAAGTTTTTCATCTATTTTTCTGGTCAGTCATTAAGCCTTTTGAGATCTATAACCATGTATTCTTGGAATTTCCATGCTCAGCTTTTTGAGGAAATGCCAAAATGCCTTCCAGAGTGGTTATACCATTTTACATTCTAGTGGTCTGATTTTATAGCTGGTTGGGAACATTACTGGGATCCCTGCTTTGAGAGACTTCTGTGAGCCTTAGGTGTTTTCTAGAACTCCCTCTGGGCTGATGCACTGTTGTTGTTTAACTGAATTGTGGACAGTTTTCTAAGAGTATAGACTTGTGTTGCACAGTAAGTTTACTGAATATCATCCATGTCTTTCTGCCTGCCCCAACTACCAATTATTCTACAGCTAACCGCGGGTTCTCCATTGGCATTGGTGACGTCACGCCAGGTCAAGGACTGCTAACAGCCAAATACGAGCTGCTCAATGCTGGCTACAAAAAATGTGACGAGTACATCGAGGCCTTAAACACAGGCAAGCTGCAGCAGCAACCCGGCTGTACAGCAGAGGAGACACTGGAGGTGAGTCTGTTCCCTGCTCCTGGCTGTCTACTTCAGCATCAGTATCAGCTGAAAGGGGGGGTCCTAGAGAGAATGTAGCAAAGGAGAGCAGGGATTAAACGTAGCTGTCTTTCCATCAAGGCTGGTTGCTTGTGTTCTTGGTTCTGAAGTGAAAGGAAAACTTGAGCCACATCCTTTCTCTCCCTTCCAGCATGCCCATTCGAGGTGACAAACCACAACCATTTGGCCACATGGGGCTGCTATTGTCCTGATGCCCATGCTTGCCCCATCTGTAGCTGGTACTTAAGTGTATCTGTCCTTTCTGTTTTTAGCATCTTTTACATAGAGGATGACACCACAGCTCTTTGAGTTATGGTCTTTGAAAGAGATTTAGATACATAAGAAGGAGATCCATGTTCATTGTTCATATACCTAATCTGCTGCCCTTCCACATTTGAAACAAAATTAGCTGAGAATTCAGCCAGCTTTTGTTAGAATCACTTCCAATCTCTGGGAGCCCTGTGTTCTCCTGAGGCCACCAAGCTGAGCAGTCTGAAATCACCAGTGTTTTCCTGTCTGGCTTCTGCTCACCTATAGCCAGAGCTGTAAGGATGAAAGAAAAGCTTTTTAAGCAGTACAATCTATTCTGATTAAATAATATTTTGAAGTATAGAAAAAGGTATTTTTCTTGAGTGACTCACCATCCATGAGTAAGCTGTTCACCATTCTTGGTCTTTCTGAGTCTTTACCTTTTTAAAAGAGAGGATAATGAGATCACTCACTTGTTACTTGAGGCTTGGTAGCAAAACTGTTTCGTTCACGCATGAGCCCTAACAGATGTAATGCCGAAGTTGCAAGTTGATGTCATAGACGAGAATATTCCTTAATTTGAGGAAAGTATATGTGCTTGGAAAAAAAACACATAAAACAAAACAGACAAAGCTTTATGTTAAGTGCAAGCAGCTCTGCTGTACAATCTCAATAGTGCCTTGTCCTTTATCCATTTGTACATGTGTATTGTAGGTGGCACTGTACACAGAGCTGGAGACATGCGTGTTTATGAGCTACCTAAGGCCTTTTTCATGTAGTTTTTTACTAATCAGTTATGTCATCGAAGTGATTTTAGAGCCCTATGTGAGGTTTAGGTTTTTACAGATAGGGAATTTGCCTCCCTAAGATTCTGGCACCTTCATCAATTGGAAATCTAGCTTTTTGCATAAGTTTTTCCAATTTCTTTTAACATCAGTTGAGAATCTAGAACTGACACGACTCCACATGCATGTCTACCTTTGTGTGACCAGGCCCTGATCCTGAAAGAGCTGTCTGTGATCCGGGACCACGCGGGCAGTGCCTGCCTCCGAGAGCTGGACAAGAGCAACAGCCCCCTCATCATGGCCCTGTGCGGCTCCAAGGGTGAGTGGGCTCCACTCAAATGCGTATGTCTTGTTCTCCTTGTCAGTCACGACTTCAGGCACTTTCTTTGTAAGACATAGATGTCATATGTGTACATACATATGTGTCTTATAAATAAAATGTATGTGCCTATATATACACATAAACAACGTGCGAGTGACAGACACATTGACTAGATTATTTGTGCTTTAGAAATTGTAATTCCTTTAGATGAACTTCTGGCAATAGGTATGTATATGATTTCTGAGTTTGGTATGCTTTCAGCAAACTTAGACTTCAAAAATAACGTATTTAGTGATGTGGGTAAACTTTCATTTTAATTGTACAGGAACTTAACGATTCATGATACTGCATTGAAATTTAAAATTTCCAGTACTGCTAACGTTTTTTTGTGTTGTGTGTATGTATGTATGTAGGTGTATATATACTGTCAAATTGGATCTGGCTGCTACAGGAGGAGATTGTCCCTTCTCTAGCAGAGCATCTGGTGGATTCAAACCACATACCTCTAGGATTGCAATGCAGCTTCTTGCCACAAGGCCACCAGAGCTCCCCCCTTTTTTAAAATTTTTTTTTTAAATTTCTTATTTTTTGTGTGTGTGCCAGCAAATCGGATCTGACTGGTAGAGGAGGAGATTGCCTCTCCTTCTCCAGCAGAGCATCTGGTAGATACAAACTGTGCACCTCTGGGATTGCAGTGTAGCTTCTTGCCATTAGGCCACCAGAGCTCCCTTGCTGCTAACGTTTCTATAAATTAGATTGTTTTCATTTTTTGGTTTTTGGTTGGGTTTTTTTGTGTGTTTTTTTTTAAAGAATGAAGTCCAGTTTCTTTAACTTTACGCCTTTCACCCGGTATCCCACTCCCTGCTCCTAGTACCCTGTCCTGCTTTGCACCAGCTGTTACTTAGCTTCATTTTTGTGCCTTTTTGCTTCCCATTCTTCCACTCACTTTGGAATTCCTTCTCTCACCTCTCTTGTGTCCAACTCAGAATGTCTCCAGAGCCTAGCCTGATGTCCACTGCCTTTACAGAGACACAGGCACTCCTGTCCCCCCTACCTCTTTGCTTCTCTCCGTTTGCTCTGTTCACCTGGAGCCTGGCTCTGCCCCCCTGTGTTACTGACAGCGTTCTTCCTGCTCTTGCTGTTTTCTTATTTGCTCCCCCATGCTATGAGATTATTTAGGGGTGATGTTTTGTTATGTGACTGTGGTGTGTTATTTACATGTTTTCGTCCCCCAGGAGTACTTGGGCTTTAGTTGATGTGATCTTCTGACCCGTTTCCCCAGGTTCCTTCATTAACATATCACAGATGATTGCCTGTGTGGGGCAGCAGGCCATCAGTGGCTCTCGAGTGCCAGATGGCTTTGAAAACAGGTCTTTGCCTCACTTCGAAAAGCACTCCAAGGTGAGTGGTCCTGGATTGGGCAGAACTTTGAAGGCAGAGAGCCCCAGTTGGGAGCAGGGTGGTTGCAGTGACTCCTGGAGGTGGTGGTGGGAACGGTGGGGCAGCTCAGGATTCTTCCCTCTTCTACACCAGAGAGGGATCTTTTTCTGCTGAGAGCTGGGAAACATGGACAAATACTCTTCCACATATTTTCTCTGTGAAGGACAGGATTTCAGATTGCCTTCTAGCTTTCCTAAGTTGTTAATACAGTGCCAGGATAAATGCGTAGAATATATATGCTGCGGTTTTGGTTACTTAACAGATAGTGATAGCACATTCAAGTGACCAGAACATTCCAGGGGCTTTTTTGGGTTGGTGTTTTTTTGTTTTGTTTTGTTTTCCGTAATTCTCAAGTTCAGTCTGTATTTGCCTTCTGGGCTCCTTGGCCCTGGTGTTGTGGTTCTACTCTAGTGTAAGCTGCTAGAGTGAGAGCAAATCCTGTGCTGTGGCAAGCTGCACATTGGGCTGCAGGCCTGCTGATCAGTAGTTGAGGAACTTAGATTTGGTCTCCTAGTAAATCCGGGGTCTGGAGTCCACTATTGTCTGGAAAGTACAGATGCCGCCCCAGCTTTTCGTGGCCCCTGGAACCACAGGGTTTCTCTCAGGGCCCCTCATGGAGACAAGACTGAATCCTGAGAGTGTGCGTGCTCTCTGTAAAGATAGCCCCAGACACAGTTCAGGCAGCATAGTTAGGTAAGGAGTTGTGCTGCCAGTGCAAAGGTTTGAATGCATCAGCTCCTTCACAGGCGAAAGATAGGTACTCTCTTTCCATGAATTTTGCATCTTCTCAAGACCCACTTGCAGATCACTTAGGAGTCCGCTCTGACTTGATGGCAGTGAGTTTTGAAGGAGTTCAAGGTCTGATTCCCCAGGCCAGTGTGGAGATAGAGGAGGACAACCTGGGGGAGAACTGCCAAGGTTCATCATGAGGCTCATTTCAGGCTGCAAGCTCTAAGGCAACCTGACAGGTTTGAGGGGTGGCAGGCCCTCCAGACCCCAATCCCTGCCCTGGTAGACACTGTGAACAGCTCTGCTTACACCCTGAGACTTGGAGAGGTCAAGAACTCACCTAGTCATCCTGGTTGTCCTGTAAAGAGTACATCCTGCCAGATCAAAGACTCTTCCATTGACAGATACATATATGTCTTGTTGAAGTACATTTTACACACCATAAAATTTACCCGTTTGGTGCATACAGTTCAGTGGCTTTTAGCAGGTCCAGAGTTACAAAGTCTCCTGTAGAACATTCTCAGCACTCCAGATGAAACCTCCTGCATATGAGCAGTGCAGAGGAAGAGGGCAGGGCATTGGCCCACAGGAAGGGACTTATTTCCGACAGGTTAGTTAGCTGCCTCAGTGGCCACTCACTCTGGACATGCTTGACTCCTGCTAGCCGTTGTAGGTGAAGCACCTGGCTTTAGCTTCTGTCCCAAGGCCCCCTTTTTGATCCTAGAACCAGCTCCAGCCCTAGTAAGGATGGTTCCTGCTGGATTGTTTGTTCCCTAGGATGGGGTGTCAGGAACCTTCCTGTCAACAGTGTGCTCGGGCTATATGTTAACCTTCCATAGGTAGAAGGATTTCTGATTTGGGTAGATTTTGAATTGTGGACCTAGAACTATTCTGGTTTGATTTTCTTTGTTCCTGCTCTTCTCTAGCTCCCAGCTGCCAAAGGCTTTGTGGCTAATAGCTTTTATTCTGGTTTGACACCAACTGAATTTTTCTTCCACACGATGGCTGGCCGGGAAGGCCTGGTTGACACAGCCGTAAAGACAGCTGAAACAGGATACATGCAGGTAAAGTGAATGTGGCAGGCCATCAGCGGGGGAGGGCCTTGGGCCTTGGGCGTGCTGATGGCCGAATGTTTATGTATTTTGTATATGAACTGTAATTTATCCAATCTTGATACTTACAAGGAAAATTTGGATGTGCAGATGCCCTAGAAATCAGCAATAAATAGTTAATAGCATCAAAATCCTCCCTTAAACCTGGAATGCTTACGATCAGGCAGGTGTCACCCACACCAGAGCTCCTGTAGGAGGAGTATGGCCAGGAAGTACATCCTGAGACACTCATCTGAGCCCGCCGAGCCTCTCTGCTGCTACTGGGAAATGAGGATGTTTACTCACACCTCCTGTATTGAGAGGACTAGGGGAACATGCTCTGCAACTATTTGTTATTAAAACTCTTTATTGTTTAAAAAAAAACCCAAAAAATTCTTTACTGTTGATTGACTGTAGACAAACTGTCCCACTCCCTTTCAGAGACTTGGACTTTCCCTACTGTATGTAGAGTTCTGGATGGCAACGTGGCCTTCATTATCCTAGTGGCAGGGAAGGGTGAAAAATACAGCCCTACTTGCTCTTCCGTCAGACCACAAAGACTTTTCTTTTTAGCCTCCAGTGACGTTTTCCATTGACTCCCAAGCAAAGGGAAGAAGTCAAGAAGTTAAGGAGCTGGAGCTGAATAGATGATTTCAAAAGGCAGCAGGGGAAGACAGACCAGAGTATTATAATTCAATGTGCAAGGAACTGGAGTCCAAAAATCAAAAGGACCATACTCACTCAGCATTTCTTAAGCTGAAGGAATGAATTAAAGATCAAATTCAAGCCTTGAGTTGCAGTACTTAAGGATGCTATGGGTAGAATACTGAATGATCCAGGAAGTACTAAAAGAAGATGGAAGGTGTATAGAGAGTCACTGTACCAAAAAGAATTGGATAACACAGAAGAATTTCAAGAAATAACATATAATCACGAGGAAATGGTGGTGAAAGAGGAAGTTCAGGCTACTCTGAAGGACTTGGCAAAAAAATAAAGCACCAGGAACTGATGGAATACTAATTGACATATTTCAACAAACAGATGCTGCCCTGGACATGCTCACCAGGTTTTGCCAAGAAATCTGGAGGACAGCTACCAGGCCAGCTGACTGGAAGAGATCCATATTTATTCCCATCTTAAAAAAGATGACCTGACAGAGTGTGGAAATTATTGTACAATATCACTCAAATCAAACGCAAGCAAAATCCTGGTGAAGATTATCCAGAAACTACTGGAACAGTACATTGACAGAGAACTACCAGAAATACACGCTGGGTTTAGAAGAGGTCATGGCGCTAGAGACATTGCCAGTGCCAGGTGGATCTTGGCAGAAAGCAGAGTACCAGAGTGATATCTGTGTTTCATTGACCATGCAGAGGCATTTGACTGTGTGGATCACAACATATTGTGGCTAACCTTGAGAATGGGAATCCCAAAACACTTCATTGTGCTTATGGGAAACCTGTAGTTGGATCAGGAAGAGTTCTCAGAACAGAGTGAGGAAACACTGCATGGTTCCAAATCAGGCAGAGAGTGTGTCAGGGATGCGTCCTGTCTCCATACCTTTTCAATCTGTATACAGAACAGATCATTCGGGAAGTTGGGCTTTATGAGGAGGAATATGGCATCAGGATTGAAGTAAGACTCATCAACAACCTACATTATGCAGATGATACAACCTTCCTGAAACTGAGGAGGATTTGAAGCACTTGCTGCAGAAAGTCAAGGATTGTAGTCTCCAGTATGGATTGAAACTCAGCCTCAAGAAAACAAAAATTCTCACCATGGGGCCAGTTGACAGCACCATGATGGATGGAGAAGAGATTTATGTTGTTAACAGTTACAGCTTGCTCGGCTCCACAATCAACACTATTGGCACCAGCAGTTAGGAAATCAAAAAATGAATTGTATTAGGTAAATCTGCTGTCAGCAACCTTTCCAGAGTACTGAGAAGCAACGATGTCAGTCTAGAAACTGAGATGCACCTGATTAAAGTCCATGGTCTTCGCAATTACTTGCTATGCTCTCTTATCAGAGAGCTGGATAATGACTAGGGATGACAGAAGAATTAATGTTTTTTAGTTGTCAACATCCCATGGACCACCAAGGAAAAAAAAAATACAGATTCGTCTTGGAGAGGGTGAAGCCAAATTTCTTCTTGGAGGCTAGAATTTTGAAGCTCTGTCTTACATACTTTGGGCATGTGAACAGGAGGGATGGATCCTTGAAGAAGTACATCATGCTCAGAAGGGTAGAGGGACAACTCAGGAGAGGAAGACCCCAGATGAGATGGATTGGTACTGTGACTGGGAAAATATTTTTATTTTTTTGGGGCTTTTTTTTAAACTCTTTTCAGGTTTTTAAAAATACATTAAACACGAGGTAGTCCACATTCCTGGGAGCTTTGCCATATACTTGCTTTGGCTTTGTGTCTCCTATGTCCTCAAGGCATGTCCTGGTTTGGGAAACATGGGTCCCTGGCAAACTGGAAATAAGGATTGATAAACCAGAGAAGAGTGTATGGGTGAAGAGGGCAGACATGGACTCATGTCAAGTCAGTAGATACCTATTTCACAGCCTCTTCCATCCTCATGTGTTATTATCTGAGACTTTGCTTTTAATCATCTTTTGATGGTAAATTGCCCTTCCATTGGGATCTTGCTGCCTTTTCTGGGATATGCTTTTAGCACTTTTGCTTTTCGCCTTCCTTTTTTTCAAATAGATTCTGCCTCTCCCAGAGTGGTGTGAATCTAGAACCAATGAGCTGTAGAAGGAGGGGGGTTTGTTTTTAAGTTGCCTGGAAGGTAGCCTTGTTCTCTGAACTGCCATCGTCACGTGCTGGCTGGTGTGTTCAGCTAGCAGAAAGTTCTTTCTGGACCTATTTGAGGAACGATTGCTGCCTGCTGGCCTGTGACAATGCAGTCCCTGTTCCCTTTCCTTTCCCCTCTGTCCTAGGAGAGGGCCTGTGCCAGACCTTCTGATTTATATAGAAGTCTGCAGGAGTCCTCGCTTGGAATATGTTTAAAAATACAAGCTATTGCGTTGATTGATACTGTGGGAACAAAGAAAAGGAAGGCAGGGCAGCCTAGGAAAACAGTGGTTTTGGGGGTGATGGAATTCTATCGAGTGGCGTGTATTTTGAATTTCACTGAAGGGCTGAGGGGGGGGGTTACAAAGGGATTGACCCACAGTATTTCTGATAGTGTTTTTATGTGATAAAGTACTTGGGACCTTGAAGCTTTGAGTCCCAGATTTCATCCTGTGCACACACAGCTAGTCATTAAAAGCATCTGGGCTTTTATTTCCTTGCTATTTTTTCTTTAGAGGCGGCTGGTCAAGTCCCTGGAAGATCTCTGCTCACAGTATGACTTGACTGTCCGAAGCTCCACCGGAGATATTATCCAGTTCATCTATGGGGGAGATGGCTTAGATCCTGCAGCTATGGAGGGAAAAGATGAACCCTTAGAGTTTAAAAGGGTTCTGGACAACATCAAAGTAAGGAACATTATTGTATTTGGTTTTAGTCTTTTCCAAAGGGTTCTTCAGAATGAGGTACTACCTGAAATAATATGTCTCCACAGTCAGTGAGTTAGTGTGTTCCTTTTAAAAAAAAATAAATAAAAAGGTTTGATTGTGATTTTGATAAAAGTTGACAGAAAACTTGAATTTCCATTCATTCATTCTTGCACAGTTTCCTTCCTCCCCGTGACCTCCAGTCCACCTTTCTATGTATCTCTTATTCTGCACTATTGTCATGCAGATAATACCTAATCATACTTTTTTTCCCTCATGTATTTCAGTGCAATGTTCATTATTTATCCCATCCCCTCTTTTCTTAGTTTCCTCCAACCCCCATGTCAGTCCTGTTTTTTAACAGTGGTGTTATGCAGTATTTGATATTTTTGTGACTGAGATATAATAACTCCTAGTTACTAAGTGTAAAGTGTTCCAGTTTCCCCAAATCTATTACTCATTAAGTTAGCCTCTCTGATGCTCCCTGGACCAGACACAGAGAGAAGGTGAAGTCCTCTTATATGACTGTCGTCGTTGTGTACCATAGATATCGTAGAGTCCTCTACGGGTCACCCACTTTGTATAATGTTTTATGAGCTCCTGTTTTTCAATTCTGTGTAGTTCCATTGAGTAAATACACCACAGCTTTCAAGTGTTTTCCTTTTTGTTACCTACCTTGAATGACATTCCCAAGTATGAAGGATAAAAAAGAAAAATCGGTTGAAAGTCTAATACTGGTTGTTGTTGTTGTCTGTACCATTGAGTTGGAACTGACTCTTGACTAACCCTGCGTTACTCCTTTATGATTATGGTGGTTGTAAAACAGGGAGCTCTGGTGGCTGAGTGGTAAGGACTTGGCTGCCAACCCGAACACCCATGGTTCAAATCCACCAGCTGTTCCTCAGAAAAAAGAAAGGAAATCTCCACCTGTGCACTTTACTGCTTCTGAAAACCTGCTGAAGGGTCAGCGGTGAGTCGGTTCTGACTTGACGGTATACAGTGACGACAGTCATATAAGAGGACTTCACCTTCTCTCTGTGTCTGGCCCAGGGAGCATCAGAGAGGCTAGCTTAATGAGTAATGGATTTGGGGAAACTGGAACATTTTACACATAATAATTAGTATCATAGAGAACAACATTTGGGCGGCGGGGGGAGATTTGACAATATTCAAATGCCTTTCAGGTATATCAACCTTTTGACCAAGCAATACCACTTACAGGAAATTTTTCAGTGGAAATATTCTAAATGTATAAGCCCTTTTCCTTACAACAGTTTATTGTAGAGAAAAACTATCAATGGAGGAGAAGTCACATATATAATAGTCTGCTGATACGTCTCCAAGAAGACTAGACTAGAGCCCTTAAAATGTTGGAGGAAATCCTATGAACTTCGAGGAGAGGATATTTTAATTCTTGAAATATTTATGTGTATTTATTTAATATTATTTTCTAATGCAAATTTGGGAGTTAATGTTAGAGAAATGGAATAATACTCCCTGAATAGTCTGTAAGTCTGCTTATTCTATTTTCATAGTCATGTTAAAGGTATAGTCTTAAGATGTTTTGAAAGGAAAGGGTGACATGAGGGGAAATCACCAGTTGCTAGAAGTTTGCTCTACGTAACTCTATAAGGTCATTTTGTTTTGTAAATGCTACTTTGAACGCTACCTCCTGTTCTGTAGTCTCCAAGTGTAACACAATTTCTCTACACTACTTGAGGCAGTGTTCCCGTGTCGGAATGAGCCTGCTCTCAGTAAGAATGAGCTGACCCTGACCATGGAGTCCATCATGAAGAAGAACGAGTTCCTTTGCTGCCAGGACAGCTTCCTCCAGGTGAGCCCCCAGGACAGTTCACTCTTGGCTGCCTGGCAACGAGTGAGATTGGCAGGCGCCATCAGGTGGTTCTGGAAGCTGAGGTGTTCTTTTGCAAAAAATTTAAGAGTGGCCTGTGAAAAAGCTCACAAATCAACAAAAAAATTAGCTCATGTCTTTTTTAGTTTATGTCTTCCATACAGATATTTCCCTATTTGGGGGGCAGGGGGAAGATTTAGTCATAGAACTGATTTTCTTCTAATAATCCTGTTTCTATCAACAACTCACCATGCACTTCCTTTGTTACCCTGTTGGCCAACCCAGTCATTCTGTAGTTGGTTTTTTTTTAAAAAAACAATAGTAGTATTTTATACTAGTTTTTTAGACGACTATTTCTCTAAACATAATAGGGATCAGAAATCCATATAGCCTTTTCTACTCTTCCGGAGAGCTGTTTTCTTGGGTCATCCTCCTCAGGTGTTGTGGTTTATTTATTTTTTAAAGTATTACTTGACCTGTCCCAGCAGCTCCTTCATGTTTATAATGATGGTTCTGGTGAAAAACAAAGGGACCCAGAGATTGTAATTGGTTTCTTTGGGTACATACTGCTAATCCACAGGAACACAGGATCTCCAGGCAAAGTACAAGTATGTCTGTTCCCACATATCACAGTGAGAGCAGTGATGTGAAGGCTGACCGGGAAGGTGTGTGTTAGGAAAGTCCTCCCTCCTCTCCCGCCAGTCATGTGCTGAGCTGTAGAAGTTGAAAAGGAAGCGTTTCCTTTCATGTTTAAATCAGGAGTATGACTAGGTTGAAGCCTTGTTTGTAATTTTGTCTAGAACCTTTGGTCATCATTATTTAACAGCTTAGAATTGTAATTTTATTTTCTTGTAGAGTTGTATTTACTTATTTATTTTTCTGTTTGTTCTCCAAGACCTTAATGGAGACAGGTTATTCTCAGTCATTCTTACTGAGTTTCGGCTCGCCGCCATCCACTTTCACCTCAGCCTTGGGCACTAGGGCCATCTTTCCCAAAGGCCCAACCTGAAAGGGACGAGGATTCCAGACCACCTTCCGGGGCCCATCAGGCTATTTCTACCTTTTAAAAATAATCTTCCCCAAGATTTTACTTGCATGTGATATAAGTGATAGTGTTGGTAACTTCCACATTCTGTTGGATCACGAATGGGAACAAATGTGGATTTCTTCCAGTTAATTGACTACGTAGCAGTCTTCCAAATTTCTTGGCATGGACTAGTGAGCACATCCAAGGCTACATCTCTTAGCTGAAACATGTCCATTTGTATCCATCAATTCCTGGAGCCATATTTTTTGCCAATGCCTTCACTGCCACTTGGACTTCTTCTTTTAGTACTGTTGGTTCTTGGTCATACTACTTCCTGAAGTGGTTCAGACAGGTTTTTTTGGTACAATGTCTGTGTATTCCTTCCATCTTCTTTTGAAGTTTCCTGGATCATTCAAGATTTTTCTCATAGAATCCTTCAGTGTTGTAAGTTGAGGCTTAAATTTGTTCTTCAGGAAATGTAGTAACTTGATATTGTTAAGTAATCTGTGGGAGGCTAAAGAGATGTCATTTTTACAAGATTGGGACAGAATTAGACTAGTATCTTTAGCAAGATATCTTAGCAGTATCTCTGTGGATACTTTTAGGATTTTATTTTTGCAAAAGGGGTGTCTGATTTACTGTATGCTTTAGGCTTAAACATATCAACTAAGTGACAGACTGAGTAGATTTTAGGTAGCACAAGCCAAGCCCGCCTTGGTAGGATGGAGGAGTCAAAAATAAATGACTGGTGGCTAAATGTGCAGTCCAGCCTCCCACAAGCTGACCTGTCCACTGTATGTGGGTCTGCTGTTTACACTCCCTGTCATCATTCTGTGTTTTGATTGTTGAGGCACATAATTCAGGGAGGGTTGTTGAAGCAAGTACAGTCTGGCCACTCTTTCCCCATATTCTCTCTGTACGGTTGACTACCAGATCTCCAGGACTGCATTCTGTCAGCCTGAGAGTCTCTGTTGCTACAGTATGTGGCTCCATCAGCTCACCCTGGGAAATGCTGCAGTAAACACTCCATAACACTTAGCATGACCCTCTGTGAGCATGATGGTAATGCATGTAACTCTTTAATTACACCTTACCCCTTTGTGAGTGCTCCCCAAAGAGGTTTCTGCCTGTCTTAGGCAGGGTTCTCCAGAGAAGCAAAACCAATTAAGCTTTTAGATATAGATAAAGAGAGACTTATTTCCAGGAAATAGCTCACGTGCTTATAGAGACAGTCTGCAGGTCAGCCCCCAAGGTAGATACATATGGGGAGGTAGAGTCTGAGTCATCAGCAGGCAGGAGGCTGCTGGCTTCAGAGGCTGACTCTTCCAGATCCTCGTTGGAAAGTGGGGTGACAGACAACTGACTTTGGAGGCTGCCGGCTACTGGCTTCAGAAGCTGGCACATCTGAAAGGTGGTGTGGGGAAACAGGATCACAGATAGTTGGCTTTGGGTACTGATGGGCCTAAAGTCATCAAGTATAGCAATCACTGGTTTAAGTCTAGAGACTGAGCCAAGTAGCTTTCTGTCAGAGTCCAGACATAGATACCATGCAGGCTACATCCTGAGACCTACGTTAATCAGATAAACTCATTGCCATCCAGTCAGAACCAACTCATAGCAAACCTGTAGCAGATTTTCCGAGGCTGCAGTCATGTGGAATTTATTATAAATTGCCCATATTTCTCCCGTGGAGCCAGTTGTGAATTCAAACTCCCTTTAGGTTAGCAGTGCAACTCCCAATGGACTAGGCCACCAGAAAGGCTAATCATCATTATAAATCTGCTTGTAATCCTGCCTTATACACCTCCTGTTGTGGTGTACTCATAGCTGACTCTAGCAGGTTTTCAGAGGCAGTAAATCACAAGTGAGGAGATTGCCCATCCTTCTGCGGAGCGACTGGCGAGCTTGAACCACATGCTTTTGGGATTTCATTGCAGCTTCTTGCCACTAGGCCACCAGAGCTCCCCACTAACATCCTGTTGTTGTTCTGAACCTTTGAGTTGGAATCAACCCCTAGGTAACCTCCAGTAGGTTTTCAGAGGCAATTAATCACACAGAAGGAGATTGCCCATTTTTCTGTGGAGCACCTGGCAGATTCAAACCATATGCCTTTGGGATTGTAGCACACATTCTCATCTCTAGGCCACCAGAGCGCTATTAACCATCCTAGAGCTAGAGGTTAGAATTTATTAAACGTAGCCAGAGATGTATTCTGTCTCCATACCTTTACAATCTGTACGCAGAACAGATCATCTGGAACACTGGGCTGTATGGGGAGGAATGTGGCATCAGGATTGGTGGAAGTTTCATCAACAATCTGCATTATGCAGATGATACAACCCTGCTTGCTGAAACTGAGGAGGACCTGAAGCACTTGCTGCAGAAGGTCAAGGACTGTAGCCTTCAAGATGGATTGAAGCTCAACATCAAGAAAACAAAGATTCTAATCACTGGACCAGTTGGCAGCATCAGTATGGATGGTGAAGATATTGAGATAGTTAACAGTTTTAGTTTGCTTGGCTCCACAGTCAACAGTCTTGGTACCAGCAGCCAGGAAATCAAGAGACGAATTGCACTGGGAAAGTCAGCTGTCAGGGTACTGAAGAGCAATGACGTCAGGCTGGAGACTAAGGTGCGCTTGATCTGGGCTATAGTCTTCACAGTTGCATGCTATGCATTGAAGAGCTGGACAGTGACTAGGGATGATAGAAAGAGAATTAATGCCTTTGAGCTGTGGTACTGGAGAAGAGTGTTGAATATACCATGAACTACTAGGAGAACAAACAGGTTTGTCCTGGAGTGGATAAAGCCAGGCTGCTCCTTGGAGTCAAGGATTCTGAAGCTTCATCTGACATACTTTGGGCATGTTAAAAGGAGGGATCAGTCCTTGGAGAGGGACATCACATTTGGAAGAGTGGAGGGACATCACAGAAGAGGAAGACCCTCAATGAGATGTATCGATTCAGTGATTGAGGGTAGTGGGAGTAGGTGTGTCAGAGACAATGAGGTTGGAACAGGATAGAGCAGGATTTAGGGCTCTTGTACATAGGGTCACTATGAGTCGCAAGTGACTTGACAGCACATAACAACAACAACAGATTCATTACATAATATTGAGAACTATTGTTGGGTTGACACTGTTAACCACCACGCTCTCTGATCTTGGTACTTGGATGAATAGAAAGGCTTCTGAAGTCTGAGAGTGTATTTATTTTGTAGGCACCTTAGATTTTAAAACAGGCAGTCTCCCTTTTAGATTGATTATTAGGAAAACTAGAGTCAAAGCGAAAGTCTCTAGCCTGCTCTGAATATGTACTTTTATTTTTCTTTTTATTGCCAAAACCTGGAAACATGAATATGTATTTTTTCATTCTCTTGTCACCTTTGCTGGCATGTGAATATGCGCTGTGTATTCCTTGGGAAAACACTTTTTAATAGAACTAGTATCTATATTGCATCTTTTTTCATTTACAGCTAAATAAGATGGGCTCACTCACCATCTATTGCCAGTAAGTTTATGAACTGAATTATGCCATCCACATTACTGAGAAATTGAAAACTGACATTTGCTGTGTAACATTTCAGGAAATAAAGAAATTCATCAAAGGGGTTTCTGAGAAGATCAAGAAAACCAGAGATAAATATGGCATCAATGATAATGGCACAACTGAGGTAAAGTCCTTGCCAGACATCAGGTGGCAGACCCCACAGTATGTTCCGATGTCACCACCCTAACTCTGCATTTCCATTTTTTCAGCCTCGTGTGTTGTACCAATTGGACCGGATCACCCCGACCCAGATAGAAAAGTTTCTGGAGACCTGTAGGGACAAGTACATGAGGTAGGGATGCTAGATATCTTAAAGAGGAGGGCGTTAAATGTAGGGTCCGCACGGGCACAGGATCCTGTACAGTGAAGCTTGTGACTTTCAGTAACGAGACTATGTGTCAGCCCCATCTGTGCCTCCACTGGCTTTCCAGTGCTCTTAGATGTGAAAATAATTATTGAGAGATTTCTAAGTGTCCTCACACAAAGAAGCTATTACCAGATGTTAGCTGCTCCACTCGCAGTGCTGTTTGTTAGCATGGCACTTAGGACTTTACCAGCCATGGATGTAGACTCATTTGTTATGTTCTAGTAACAGATCGCCACACAGCAGTCATGTCAGACCTCTCTGAACAGTCACAGTCCCCTTTCTGCCCTTACACCTTATGGATGGCCAACCTATTCCTCTGTCACAAACAGCCTGGCTCATGGCCAGTTCCTTCTTGACTCTTTGCCTCTAACACCTTTTGAAGAGCATGGTCAGAAGCTTCTCCCAGCAGTTTGCTGGATTTCCCACTGTTAGGTTGTATTTCCACTTGTATCTTCTCTCCCAAGGGCCCAGATGGAGCCGGGCTCTGCAGTGGGCGCACTCTGTGCACAGAGCATTGGCGAGCCAGGCACGCAGATGACCCTGAAGACCTTCCATTTCGCGGGGGTGGCCTCCATGAACATCACACTGGGCGTGCCCCGAATCAAAGAGATCATCAATGCCTCCAAGGCCATCAGGTACCCAACTTCATTGCTGTTGCTTAAGATAATGATCCTGTTGTCATGCACACACGTATAATATGCTAATGGAAAAATGTATTGCTCTCTGGGTGATGTTTGTTCTGCTGCTAGTCCTATTTTCATTATATTTGGTTAATTATACTTGTTCAGCCACTCAAATGGTGGCTCCTTGGAATGTAAAACAGTGCAACTACTCTGGAAAGCAGGGCACTCTGATGTTCTCGTGGTAAGAAGCTGAGATGCCAACCCAAGTCTGCATGATTCAAATCCACCAGCTGCTCCACAGGAGAAGGATGGGCAATCTCCTCCTCCCATGTGATTAAACTGCCCCTGAAAACCTGCTAGAGGGTCAGCTATGGGTCGATTCTGACTCAGTGGTACATAACAACAACTACGGGAAGCAGCTTGGTGCTGTTTTAGAAAGTTGGAAATAGAAATACTATTTGACCCAGGAATCCCTCTATTAGAAATATGTTATTCTTGATGATTACAGTCGAGCACGACTTACAGGGACCCTATGAACAAAAGACCTGAAGCCTTTCTGTAACTGTCATCATTTCTCAAAGTTCATAGATATTCCAGAGAAATAAAAGCTTCAACACAAACTGATGTACACACACCCATGGTTACTGCAGTATTATTTATAGAAGAAAACTGCTGTAAACTACCTGGGTGTTATCAACAGATGAATTGTGAAAAAAAAAGTATGTTACATTCACACAATAATACATCACAGAAAAAGAATCAAGAATTTGTGTGCTACTATACAACATGGATAAATCTAGAAATAATTGCTCTGAATGACATAAGCCAGTCACAAAAGGACAATTATGGTATAAGGCCACTATTAAAATAAGCTTAGGAAAAATTTACACACAATAGAACCAACCTTGAAGTTTTAATAAGGATGAGAAAAGAGGAAGAAGGGAGTAAAAATCGAGAAATAGATTACCTATAACCAGGAGAAGATAAAATAGATGAATGGGATCTTCTAAGAATCAAATCCCTATGCACATCCAAAAACTTCTCCACCAGGGTAAAAATCATGCCGAGGATTCGGACCAGCAGTGCAAGAAGCTCCCTGATGACACAGGCCCCGTGCATGTGCCTTTTAAGTGTGCTGTGTCCAATGAGAGATGGTGGACGCCCCAGCCTGTGCAGGACATATAAAGGAAAACAAACTTGTTTCTGATAGCAGGAGTCAAGAAAGCAAAAACCATTTTGCATTGGTCATCTGCTGTCAAGGACCTTTGAAGTACTAAAAAAGCACGGATGTTATGTTAAAGAACAAGGTACACCTGACCAGGCCCTGGTATTTGCTGTTGCTTCATACGGATGTGAAAGTTGGGTAATGAATAAGAAAGACTGAAGAATTGATGCCTTTGAATGGTGGTGTTGGTGAAGAGTATTGAATGTCCTGTGAACTGCAAGAAGAACAAAAAAAGCTATCCTGAAAGTAGTACTCCAGGTGTTCTTAGAGCCCAGGAAGGTTTGCTGGGCATATTATCAGGAGAGGTCTGTCCTTAGAAAAGGACATAATGATCGGAAAGGTGGAGGATCAGCAAAGGACAGCAGCACCCTCCATGAGATGGACTAATAAAGTGACTGCAACAGTTGAGCTCTCCTGAGGGAGAGCATGGCACAGGACCCTCCAAGGATCCCATCCTTAGTACGTAGGGTCACCGTCCAGTCAAGAATTGACTCAACCAGTACCCACAGGTCATGAAAAGGCTAAAAACTGAGAAAATTCTTTCCTCTTCCAGCAACGAGTGAAAGATGCGACCTGGGTAGATGCTCATTGTGTTCAGGCCTTTGCAATAGGGGCACTAGATGGCACTGCCTTTTCTCTTCTGAGTCAGGTGACTCAGGAAAAAGAACAAAAATAACTTTATTAAAAGCAGATAAGAGATGGGCTCACTTTGTCAGAAAGAGTTTTCTGAAAGTCATCTCACTCACTGTTGGAGTGAGTTGCCTCAGAAGCTTCAAAATGAGCAAGTCTTAAGAGTAAAATGAAGGCCTTAGTAGGATACCTGCCACGTAGTGGATGCTTGTTAAATTGCATCTACTTATGATTTTAAATGCAGTTCTCACTTATCAGCTGTCTCATTATCCAATATTTCACATTTACAATAATAGTTTAAAAATCTACTTATTAATGCATAAGTGTGAACACTGGACGACTGGGTGAGGGTGATGCTGGCTGAGAAGTTCTGTTAGCTTGCTGGGCCATCACTGTTAGGCAGTTATGTGATGGTGTAATCTGGAAACTTGATAATGATGAAGTTTGGCAGTCTATAATGATGCTGGCATCTCCATTTTATGATTGAACGCAGTCATCCTCCATTTTCATATAATGACAGTTTTTCACTTAACAACCTGGTCTCAGGAACCTAACTGTGTCAGTAAGTGAGGAGTGGATGTGGTATTACAGTGTAATAAGGCCGTAGTCTTCAAGCAGGATCCTTTCTGTGCTGTAATCTCCTCTCTTGTCTTTCTCCTAGCACTCCAATCATCACAGCTCAGCTGGACAAGGATGACGATGCTGATTATGCTCGTCTAGTGAAAGGGAGAATTGAGAAAACCCTCTTGGGAGAGGTAAAAAAGAAATCTGTCTTGATACTAAGAAATGGGAATGGTGGTCTTTAGAGAAGTCAGACACTGAGTGGCAATAGCTATACCCTTCAGTCATATCCACTTCCTCCTGGTCTGCTATTTGGACATGTGCATTCCCTCCTGCTCTACCATGTAGTCATGTCCACACCCTCCTGCTCTACCATCCTTCACATCCACGCCCTGCCCTCCTGCTCTATCCTGTAGTCATGTCTATGCCTCCTACCCTACCATTTGATCACATTCATGCCCTCCTGCTCCACCATTCAGTCACGTCTGTGCTCTCCTGCTCTACCATTCATTCACGTCTATGCCCACCTGCTCCACCATTCAGTCATGTCTACGCAGCCCTCTTGCTCTACCATTCAATCACATCCACACCTCCTGCTCCACCATTCAGTCATGTCTGTGCCCTCCTGCTCCACCATTCAGTCATGTGTACGCAGCCCTCCTGCTCCACCAGTCACTTCTGTGCCCTCCTGCTCTACCATTCATTCACGTCTATGCCCACCTGCTCCACCATTCAGTCATGTCTACGCAGCCCTCTTGCTCTACCACTCAATCACATCCACACCTCCTGCTCCACCATTCAGTCACGTCTGTGCCCTCCTGATCTACCATTCAGTCACGTCTGTGCCCTCCTGATCTACCATTCAGTCACGTCTGTGCCCTCCTGATCTACCATTCAGTCATATCTACATAGCTCTCTTGCTCTACCATCAGTCACATCCACGCCTCTTGCTCTACCATTCAGTCGTGTCCACAAAGCCTTCTTGCTCTGCCATTCAGTCACGTCCACACCTGCTGGCTTTACCAGTCTGTTGTGTCCACGCCTCCTGAATACCTAAAGATCAGGCAGAGGATGCTGTCTGATAAACTGTCTAACATTCTCATCTTTTGAACCACAGATTTCCGAATATATTGAAGAAGTGTTCCTTCCGGATGATTGCTTTATTCTTATCAAGCTCTCCTTGGAACGGATTAGACTTCTGAGACTGGAAGTGAGTCACACAATTGAATGTGTATAGTGCGGGAAGTCATCCTCCTTTGGTCCCAAGATAGATACGGACTAACCAAGACAAGAGCTAAGCAAGGCACTGAGTGCATCATCAAACATTCTGTTGGGTTTCTGTTCTGGGAGATTCTGTCGAATCTTTCTAGTCTGGCTTTCTTATCCTGATCCTGACAGATTTTGGCATTTAAAGGCACAATTAGTTTAGACCACACAGTAACTTACTTGTGAAACAGTGTCACAGCAACCAGGTATCCTCCAGGGTCTGGGTGAAGCTCCAAGCAGGGCTTCCTGACTCATCTAGAGGTCCCCGCACTCCGCATAGCTCCTTGCTGCCCTGGGCAGTGTATTTGGATGGGTAGATTATCCTGGCATGCTGTATCAGCGTGTATGAGGAGGTAACAGTAGAAAGATCATCCGTCATTCTCTCATGTAGTTAAATCCTTTAGTTTTGTGTCTACTAGCATATCCGTCCCTGCTAATAGCCTCTGCAATAGAAGCACGTCCTGACTGATCCTGCACTGATCTCCCGATCCACTAAGATTTGAATCACTGTGCTCCTGGGTTTTTATTTGGTTGAAAGTCAGTTGCCAGGCCTTTCTTGTTAGTCTGTCTCAGTGTGGTATCACTTCAGAAATATATTCACCTTACCCACAACAATTTCAGTTTACTTGGACAGACAATCAACATGCGTGGTAGACTCAGCCAAGAGATCAAGACATTTTTCACTAGGAAAATCTGTCAAGGGCTTGTTTAAAGTGCTAAAGAGCAAGAATATCAGTTTAAAGATTAAGGTATACTGCAATTCCTATTCTTTATAAGCATTGTCCATAACGTATTCTAATCCCCACAGCTGAATGATTTTGAATAGTCGGTAAAATACAAGCACACAGTTTTCTGGCACTCTGTGCTTTCAGCCAAACACATCTGGTATCATCAATAATGCCCTTAAGTCCATGGTCTTTGCAACTTGATCTTTTGGCAGTTGATATCCTGCTTCAGCCATGGTGAATTATCTTCTGGAAGGGTGTGTTGTTTTTTTTAATTATTTGTGATAATGTTCAGTAATTTCTACAATCTGTTGAATTACCATTTTTTAGAATGGACACAAATACAGAAATTTTCCAGGTAGATCCTAGATGATAGCACATGAGCAGTGGTCGTGGTGTCAGATGAAAGAGTCTGAGCTCTCTAGTAACACTGTACAAAAAGAACATTTTTCTCACAGTTTTGGAGGCTGCATATCCACATTTGTGGCTCACCTTTGTATGGCTCACCTCTGGGGGAAGTGTCTCTCTTGTGTTCTCTCCCATTCTCAGCTCTGAGGGAAAGTTCTTTCATGTTCTTATATATTTCTTAGGCATTATAGCTCTTCTCCTCCCAGCTTTACTTGGTTATTTGCTCTTTAATATCTCACAAGAAAACAAACAACAACAGATCTCACTTCTGTCAAGTGAATTCTGACTCACAGCAATCTTCTAGGACAAATTAGAACTCCTGCATCAGACTGTTGAGGCAGTAGAACAGAACAAGAGCACACTGTCTTAGCTTTCTCCCAAGAGTGGTTGGGAGGTTCAAACCACTGACCTTTCCGTTAGCAGCCCAGGTTGATTTATAGCATACCTAATATTGCCTCATTATTATAACAAAACTCATAAAGAAAACAAAAACTTCCTTTATAAGGAATAAAACTCAAGTCCTTCCAGAGACACCTTGGAATAAAGCTAAGCATCCAAAGATAGACAGACTAGAAAGAAGGATTGGCCATCCACTCCAGAAATAACAGGCCTTTGAAAACCCTATGTACAATAGGGCATACTTAGACTAGCAGGGCACTAGAGGCTGAGGGCTTGTATTGAGAAACACAAATAGGAACAGTTGCAAGCAGATACTAGTGATTGGACATGGAATATTAGAAGTATGGATGTAGAAAAATTGAACATTGTTAAGAAAGAAATGGAACAAATGAATGGTGACATACTGGGCATTGGCGAACTGAGATGCATAAGCTTGGGATATTTTGAATCTGACAATCATATGATCTGCTACACTGGAAATGGAAGTGAAAAGTGAGGGAAAACGGGGTTGCTTTCACTGTCAAAAAGACCATTTTTATGTATGTACACCAGTAAAATAATTTTAAAAAAAGAAAAGAACTACCCCATAAAGCAAGAAAATGATTGTATGAAACACAGTGTGAATGAAAAATAGCCTGAAACACATTGTATACTATGAACTTTGTAATCAAACAAGCAATTTTAAAAAAAAGACCATTTATAGAATCATTCTGAAATAGTGTTATAAGCACAGGATCCATCATTCAGATATATGTACCAATAGCCAGAGCCAAAGAGGAGAAAAGAGAGGATTTCTACCCGTATTTTCAGTCAGAAATCAATCAAACATGCAATCAAGGTGTAGCAGTAAGTCATTGGAATGCAAAAATTATAAACAAGTTAGAAGGATCATTAGTTGGAAAACATGACTTGGTGACAAAATGAGGCTTGAAGCTGGAGGTAGAAAGAAATTCATGGCCTTGTGCCTCTATATCCAGATTTCTGTTCTCTAGACAACTTCCAAAGGAGACCATAACAACAGGTGCAGGAGTTAAGATATATAGCACCTATTTTTAGGAATGCAGGCCAGTCCATAACAAAAGGGAAGCTTTACTGAATTTTTTAAATTGTCCTATCTTCAGCACCTTCTTGAAACTCCTCCCTGAGGAGAGGCTAGTTGTTGCTGTAATTGGCTTGTGTTTTAAATGACTGAAAAAATTATTCCTTGTAGGGGTAGGATGGAGGGACAAAAAACATTATTTTTTTTTAATGAATAAAACTCAGATTTATTGAGAGACACCTTGGAAGAAAGACATGGTGATCTCCTTCCAAAACCTCGGCCATCGGAAGCCCTCTGGGGCATGATTTACTGTGCACACGAGAGGTCACCATGAGCTGGGCTTTTAATGGTCAACAGGAGTTTACATTTTATATTTAGTACGTAAGAGGTTGTTATTGTTCCACATAGAGTACATAAATAGGAAATACATTTGTTATTAAATGTGAGGAGATGGGACAAGTGACTAAGAACTTATTAACGAGTGCAGCAATAAAACTAAGTCTAGCAGTGCTGGCGTTATAGCTGCGAACCTACCAGTGATGCTGGTCCTTGCAGGTGAATGCTGAGACAGTGCGGTACTCCATCTGCACATCCAAGCTCCGCGTGAAGCCTGGAGACGTGGCTGTGCATGGCGAAGCTGTGGTGTGTGTCACCCCCAGAGAGAACAGTAAGAGCTCCATGTACTATGTGCTGCAGTTCCTGAAGGAGGATCTCCCCAAGGTG